GAGCGGCAAGCTACCAGCGACGAGCTACAAGCGATATTGAGCAATATTGAGCGGCGATATGTGAACAGCTCCGTTGAAATGGATTGGAGAAGCTACATAGAGAGATATCGCTGCAAAAATCGCTCGATAAATCGCTCAGTGTGAATGGGGCCTAATGGAGTCTACATCTATCTGGATGATCCGAACCCTCCACCTCTCCGCCTGAAGCTCTGCAATAAAGTTTTCAGCATTACATATATAGTCTGGACATCACTTCAATCGATCACCATAGAGGGCAGTAAGAGCTGAGGGGCAAAGTGAGTGAAATTACACCTAGACAAGAAGATTACTGAGTTGCGGTAACCCATAGCAACCGACCCTAGAGTCAGGGTGTGCTGAGGTGCTGTGGATCCATCATAGAGATTACTTATAGAGGAAAGACAGGGAGACCCGTTAGTTCTATTACTGTAGACCACCCTTTGGCGCCAACGGTAGTTTTATCCTGCATTGGGTATCACTGACCGAGAAAAGGGTGACGCTACATATGTAAAGCACTGCGTATATTGTCAGCGCTATATAAATACCAATAATAATAAATATGAGAATGATAATAGAACATCTAAATACCAATATATGACGCTTATTCTGATAATATATTATAAAACCCCATACGTGATCCTATTATCTCTCTCTTCACTCTGCCCCTAACGGAATTCAATGCAAAAACAATGTTTGTGAATGTAGTATAATCAGGGCAATAGGTCTATATGAAGTCACCAATTATCATCCTGTGTGTTCTTGATGACCCTTCAGTCTGCTATGTAGAAGATCGGAAACACTGCGGGGGTTATTCAGAAAACTGCAGAGTGAATAACCCAGCCGAAGTGAGCAGAACAACAGGTCAGGTGCAAGACTTTGCCCAATGAGGGCCCAGTACTCTGTAAGAGCCATGATTGGGCAAAGTAATAATGAGTTTGCCCAATCATGGCTCACCTGTCAGATGCCGTACAACTGTTGGGCTGATCTAGCTAGCTGTCACCGCTAACTCCAACCAATTGTTTATATTTTGCCGGCATCTGTCAGAATGCCATTCTGCGGTGGTAGTTCGACGTGAGCGGACGGGTCGTCGGGCGTCGTTTTTTTAATTTTAATTTTATTGCTTACTGCATATAAGCCTTTAAAATGGGGTCAATTGATTTTCAAAGTTCTGGCCCCATAGACTCGCATTGAGTTTGAGTTCAAATTCGAACTTTTCCCATGTTCTAAAGCAGTGGTTCTCAACCTTTCTAGGGCCGGGACCCCTTGGTAACATTTGCCAAGTTGTGGTGACCCCCAAAGGTAAAATTTAGGGATGACGCGGCTGCTTCAGCGACATCTGGAGGCGTGGCGGGAGAACCGACACTGCTGCCCTAGGAGAGGGCTGAGGAGGACTCTCACCGAGCACAGCGACCCCACAGGTTGAGAACCACTGCTATAGGCAAAGACAGGACCGGGCTCTGCAGCTGGAACTAGAAGAATTGGATTTAAAGTGTGTGGCTATATAACGTATGAGGTACATACTCCGCAGTACTGTCACTGATAGGGATGGGCTCGGGCGTGTTCGCAGCTCCACGTGCCGAGCCCGCCAGGAAGCTGAAAGCGCGCAGTGCCAATCATAGGCACTGAGACATTTCCTGATCCCTGCAGCTGCGGAGCGGGAAAATGGAATGCATAGCTAGAAGTGTGTTTTACATATTTTTTTGCTTGAATATATACATATTGCATTCGCCCTCTGCTGCTGTCAATCACTAGAAGGGGACCTGATGGAGAACTTCAGGTCCCCCTCTGCTGATTGGCAGCATCAGAGGGCGGGTGCAATAGCTAGTTTGCTATTGGCTTTTGCAAAGTGAAATAGCCAATAGGAATCTAGCTATGCATCCCTATGGTGTTTTTTTTTTTTTGACTTACGGTGGCCCCCGATTTAAAAAAAAAAGAAGAGCAGAGAAAGGTCCCAACCTTTCCGGGAGAAAGTGTTCCTCTCCCGGCGGCCGAGAGCCACTAGGCGACCCCTGGCAAATCGTCATTTGACCCCCGAGGGGGTCCCGACCCACAGGTTGAGAACCACTGTTCTAAAGTTTGAATTCGAACCGAACACAGGGGAGTTCGGCCCAACACTAGTCTACACACGAATAGCCGCCGATTAAAGGAGAACTATGAGGTGAGTGTTTTTCACTCACCTCATAGTTCTAGCCGACCTGTGACAATGAGACTGTCACAGGTCGGCTCAGTAGATCGGGAGGTGAGCGAACACATACCGGTGTTCGCTCCCTTCTCAATCCTGTCAAGGCTCTCTGCCATGACAGGGGAGGGGCTGGATTCCCCCCTCCCCGCTCTGATTCTCCAGCGCTGACTGGCGGAATGGACAGGGAGAGGGCGAGTACAGCTGGCTCTGCCTCTATATAGGCAGAGCCAGCTGTCACTCACGCAGCTGGGCGGATCCAGACATAATTGTCGGGATCCGCTTCAGCTGCGTTGTCTCAGTATACCGCGAGCTGCAGCTCCCTATATACTGAGCCTAGGGTGATGGGAGGACGCTAGTTTGTGTCCTCCCCTTACCCTAAGGAGAACTATGGGGAAAAGCCCTAACCTCATAGTTCTCCTTTAAATCTGTCAATGTTTAGAGGAATGCTAAAAGACTTAGATGCCTGAAGATGGTTTGGTTGCTTGGACCCCGATGTCATCAAATTACGTTTATATACCTGTTTTGTACTTTATCGGAAAAAGAATCAGGATAGAAAAAATTACACAAATATACACTGCCTGGCCAAAAAAAAAAGTCGCACACTCTAATATTTTTTTGGATGCGTTTAGCTTTGTTTATGGCACACGAGCGCAGTGGCTTTGTTTTGATAAGCTTGTGTAATGTTATTTCCATCCAGACTTGTATTCATTTCTCACCGAGATCTTGTAGTGATGAAGGGAGAGTGGGACCTCTGTGTAAAGTCTTCTCCGGCACATCCCAAAGATTCTCAATGGGGTTAAGGTCTGGACTCTGTGGTGGCCAATCCATGTGTGACAATGTGTCACGCGTCCCCCGGAATTGAGTGAGAGTAGGATCACAGCTGCAGAGTTCAGAGTTGAGGTATACCTTGAGGAAGTAGTAACGGCTATGCAGTCTTGAATCCCAGGCGTCACTCTCAGTCTAACACCGGAGAGTTAGGGATTCATGGATCATGGGCCGTATAAACACAAGAGTGGCTACGTATTACTGAGGGGTTATTACTCCATAACCCCCCTAAGCATAGTATAAATAAAGTGTGGCACTGATGTTGCCCGTTAGGTAAGTAGGGGTAGGATGTGATCGGTAGTTCATAGGCAGACATAAATTAACTCTGAGTAATACGGATAAGCGGCTGTGAGAAAATGGGGTATCTCAGTAATGCAGTCCATGCACAATTGGTAAATCAAATCAGAGCAAACAGATACTCGAGTGTGAGACAGTGAGCAATATCAGTAAGGCAGTACATGCACGAATACCCCCTAAGCTAGATGTTTCATAGCCAGCAGAGGCCACACGATAGCCGGGGTACTTGCGGTTAAGGTGATTATGTCTCCCCAGTGGTAACCCCGCTCCAACGGGGTGAGCAGTCCCGGTGCTGCATGTTCCGGCAAACAGGCGTGCATAGAGTTGAGGACGGTAATAGGGCTTATAATCCCAATAGTGGAACGCCCTACTAGCGTCCCGAGATGTTTAAATAGCCCGCGGCCGCCAGCCACTTCCGTGTTCCACCGTGGAGCGCAGGGCACCTCCTCCTAAAGGGGAGGAGTTGTATTGTCCTGTTCCGGCCCGATGCGTTCCACAGTGGAACGCAAACGGCCGGGCCGGCGTCCCCGTAGACCCTTACACAATGATGTCTCATGCTCCCTGAACCACTCTTTCACAATCTGAGCCCGGTGAATCCTGGCATTGTCATCTTGGAAGATGCCCAATGTGCCATCAGGGAAGAGAAAATCCATTGATGGAAAAACCTGATCATTCAGTATATTCAGGTAGGCAGCTGACCTCAGTTTTTTGGGCACATAACACTGCTGAACCTAATTAATTATCGAATGGAAGGCTCTGACCTATTTGCTTAGCTAATTCCAGGTGGAATTATTTTTTTTTGGCCAGGCAGCATATATATGTGTGTGTATATACAGTATTGCTTCTGACCTAAAGAAGAGAGGTTCACTCTGGAAAGCTTGTCTTTTATATATTTTGTTAGTCCAATAAGAAAGGTATCATTGCACACTGCAATACTGCGTTTTTGTCTTTTTTGACATCTTGTCTACTGGACTAATATACTGAATTTATAATATACAGTATGTATATATTATAATGTATTTATGTATACAAATATACACAAGTAAACTTTCCTATTCTTTTTATTATTGCTCATTACTTAAATATAAACTCTTATGTTATTGGAATTTTCTGGTTACTAGTTGATGTTCAAACTACACTACAAGGAAAACAAAAATGTAAAAAAAAAAAGCTATTTGTTTTATTCCCGGCCTGAATAGAGCTGGGAGCTTGTATTTTGTCTTGTGAGTGAAGGAAGCTAGCACAGAGCTTTCTTTATTTCGAGTCTTGCGTGATGTATCATTCCCTCCCCATGGATTTAGTGAAAGCTGATACCATTAGATGTAGCCCTCCTACTTATCTCCCCCTCCCACTCCTTTCAGCTTCTGTGTTTCTGGTGAGAACAAACTAAATTCACAAGACCTGCAGGAAGAAAGATTCACACACAGGGACTGTGCCTCTCTGCTCCATCAACTTTTTGGTTCCAATCTTCCTATATTTGTTTGGCGCAATGGAACAAAATTGATATGCATCACGCAGGACTGGAAGTGTCTTCTGTTATGCAAATCCTAAGAACAATTTAAAGGGATTGTTTGCGATCTGGCGCTACAACGAACGTATCGAACCCTCAGGAGTTATGCTTTTGAGACACCTGCAAAGACAACCTGTGGAAAGCAGTCTTCCTTGACCGATGCCTGATTCATAGAAGACAAAGGAATTGTCAACAGCAATGGCCGTTCAAGCTGCAATAATGAACCATCACTTTATGCCCTTGTATTTTCCCGGATCCCATGTGGGTTTTGAGAAAAGCTATCACGAAGGGGTTGAGTTTCTCGGTGCTGTTGAATCCGCTGGTGACTATAAAGAGTCTAGCAAGGACTTGCTTACTTTCATCAACTCAGCCTCCAGCAACATCAAGCTAGCCTTGGACAAACCCGTGAAGTCCAAACGCAAGGTCAACCATCGGAAGTATCTGCAAAAACAGATTAAAAGGTGCACTGGGATGATTGTTAACGGCAACACCAGCCAAGGGTCTCCCAAAGGTCAGTTAGCATCGCCCAGCAGCACCAGCCCTCAAAGTTACCACTGTAAACCACCTCCAAAGAGGGACACCACCCAGACCAACCTGCAAAGCAAAAGCCTAGCGGCCCTGTTTGACAACACGAAGGAAGTTCGTGGAGAGAGATGCAAGAAGGTCCCCTTGAGGAATCGCAACCTTCCGCCTTCTTTCTTCACCGAGCCTGCTAATTGTTCTTCGGGGCTTCTGCCCAACTCTATAGCAACTTTGAAAGAGATGGAGAAGGGCAGTCAGGAGACCATGGAGTATTTCGACCTGTTAGACTCGGATTACAACAGCCTGATCTCAGAGCAAGAGATCCTTCAGGGAGCGTCGGTGAGGATTCACCAGGACATCACAGCGGAGCATTCTATGTACGAGCCGCATCATTTGCTAAACGGGATCCTTTATTCCGACCCCTGGAATCCATGTAATCTCATTAAAAAGAGTCCCGTGGGAACTTGCGGTGCGAGCCCCAATGAAAATTTTAAATGCCTACCAATGCCAGGGACGGTCTTCACCAGTCATGGTGACTCTAGCCTTCCTACTGGGGTAGAAGACAACTGTTCTACACTAACTTCATTTACTCCCTGCTACTCTGAATGCTCCCTGCCCCAAATGTTTTACGACTGTAGCTCGGGATACAACAGAATTGGCTATCCTGTTCTGTAGGGGAAGGGGGGAGAGACTTCTCGAAGTAGCTCATAAGGAGAAGTGTGCAATAAGATAGTCAATGCAAACTAGTGACAACCTAAAAATTCCAGACAGATGTCTGCAAGTATAAAGATAACTACACAAATTCTTTTTAACATAAGCTATTATATGTCTTATATTCCTGAATACAACATGGTTTCCAACTGCAGAAAGCTATATTTTTATTTTCAGGTGTGTACATATGTAAAAAAATAAATAAATCACATCGGGGGTCTATTTATAATTGTTTTCACCCATTTTTCAATTGAACCCAATTAGAAAAATGTGTGAATCCTGTGTGAAAACATTTATAAATAGACCCTAGTGCCTGGTGTATATTAATTTGTGTTTTTTTGTTTATTTTAATTTTTTTAATTGTATTTTTTAGTTTTTTTTGCTGCAAAGAAATCTCGTGTTGTAACCAGATCTGATAATCAATGCAAAATCATATGCAATAAAGTTTTTAGAGCTGCTAGCACCACTGTAGATTAAGGTTGGTTTTAAGAAATGGGGCATTTTTTAACGTATCTGGGCCTAGTTCTGTAGTCATTTAGTATTAAGTTTGAAGAGCGATGATCATGTGCAAAGTGCAGTAACTTATAGCAACCGATCAAATTTCGAATGTTATCCTGATGGGTTGCTACAGCTCGCTGCACTTTTTACTCTTTGTCTTTTTAAAAGTCTGGTCCTTGCCTGCGGTAAAAAAAAGAAAAGCAGGCCGCATGAAAATACTTGACAATCTTTATGGACCGCTCTGGGGTCCCTGAAAGTGCTTCATGTTCAATGTTTTGTCTGCTGTGAACTCTTGACCCTCAAAAAAACAATATATTATGGATGAATTCAAATCGCGAACAATTGTGTATTTGTTGTATTGAGT